ATTTTAGAGTTAGTAAATTATATATTATTAAATTTTATTAGATTATTTATTTTAGAAATTTATGTGTTAGTGAGAGTAGCTTTTTTGACATTATTGGTGTATAAGATTTTTAGGATATGTACAGGAACGGAAAGGCCCTAATAAGGTTGGGGTTGCAGTCTTTTAGAGGTGCTATTAAGTTATTAGGAAAGGAGAATTTGTTATTTATAAATCAAATTATTATATGTATTATATTTGCCCATTATTTTGTTTATATTAATAATAAGAAATTGGTTAGTTTATGGATATATTACTAATATTTATTATTTAAATTATTCTTTATTAATTTTAATTATTATTTTAACAATTATAGGTTATATATTTATGTTTATAGTGTGATTTTCTTATTCTATATATTCTTTAATTGGGACTGTGCGAGCTATTTCACAAACTTTATCACATGAGGTTAGTTTAATTATAATTTTTTTGGTATGGATAATTTTAAGGGAAAGATATTCTTTTTTGGATTTTATGAAATGGCAAGTATATATATGGTATGGATTAATGTTAAGCCCATTATTTTTGGTATTTTTTGTAAGAGTATTAGTGGAATTGAACCGTAGGCTGATAGATTTTGTTGAGGGTGAGTCAGAGTTAGTTTCAAGGTTTAATGTGGAATATTTTAAAGGTATTTGCTTTAATTTTTATAGCTGAGTATAGTACGATTATTTTTTTTATGTATTTAATTGGTGGAATATTTACTAATTTAATTGGTTTATGATGATCGTGGTTGTATATTAATTTGATAGTATTTTTAATTATTTTAATAGGGGGGGATATTACCACGAATGCGGTATGATGTTAATATATTTATGTTGATAGATTATTTTACCTTTTATTTTAAATTATATGATTTTTATTTTGATATTCAAGTTTTATTTGTATTTATGTAGGAAGGCAGGAGTAAGGGAAAGAATAAAAACAGTATAATGATACTATAGAAATAGTAATTGAAGAGATGAACTTAATATGTGTGTGTATATATATATATATAT